GGGAATCTAGGGGCGAGGTGAATCCTCATCGGGGGCTTAGGCAGGGTGACCTATTATCCCCTTATCTCTTTCTCTTGGTTGCTGATGTTCTCTCAAGGATGGTCCAGAAAGAGGTATTGGAGAGGTCAATCAAACCTTGGAGAATATGTCAGCGAAGCCCTATACTATCTCATTTGTTTTTTGCTGATGATTCTTTCTTTTTCCTCAGGGCCTGCGAACAGGATGGGACTAGACTGAAGCTGATCCTACAGAGGTATTGCGAGGCAGCAGGCCAACTTATCAATCTCAATAAGTCTAGAATTCTTTTTTCTTCAAACACACCAGAGGACCGGAGGAGAACCATGAGTCAGTTGATGGAAATCGAAGCTCTTCCAGTCAATACTAAATATTTGGGCCTACCAATCATGTGGGGAAGATCAAAAGCCGAAACTGTCAACTATTTATTAGAGAGGCTCATGAAGAAAATTCAGGGATAGAAGAAAGTCTACCTTTCCCAGGCGGGGAAAGAGGTTTTGATTAAATCATTCGTCCAAGCTATTCCCAGCTTTGTTATGTCGGGTTTAGTTTTCCCACAAAATTTGTGTGATAAATTGAATCAGTGTGTTCGATGTTTCTGGTGGGGTCGAAATTCGTAGACCAATGGTATCCCATGGAAATGCTGGGATGTTTTGACGGCTCCTAAAGTGTCCGTGGGCATGGGTTTTAGAGACTTCCATTGTTTCAATTTGGCATTGTTGGCTAAGCAGTCTTGGCGATTATTACAGAATCTAAATTCCTTTTGGGCTTGTATTCTGACAGCGATATATTTTCCTAATTCGGATTTCATGGTGGCTAGAAAAGGAGTAAGATCGTCTTGAATGTGGAGCAGCCTTTTAAGGGGAAGAGAACTGTTGGCTAGAGGTATTAGATGGTAGGTAGGTAATGGGAAACATATTAAGTTTTGGAATGATAGATGGATCCTGTATTTATCTGGTTTCTCAGTTTTCTCGCCCAAGCCCCAGAACTGTAACATTGAGTATTTAATGGATGCAATAAATCAGACATCAAAGGATTGGGACTTTGACTCTCTATGGAAGCTTACCAATATTGAGGAATATTGTGCTATCACAGCTATTCCGGTCTCGAAAGTGAAGGGGTTGGATAAGAGGATATAGCATTTCGATGCGAGGGGTCGCTATACAGTTAAATCAGGCTACAAGGAGGCTAGGATAATGAAGAATTCTATAGTGAATCAGAGTTGTTGTTCTTCCTCTCACCTTCACCCTAATCTGTGGAACATTATTTGGAGCCTGAAAACATCAACCAAGGTAAGACACTTTTGGTGGAGGGTTTGCTCAGACGTTCTCGCCACGAAGGAGAATCTCTTTAGAAGAAAATGTGGCTCCTCCCCACTTTGCTAGATTTGTGGAAATAAGGTTGAAAGAACAGAACACTTTTTATTTGGTTGTGAATGGACACACAAGGTTTGGTTTGGATTAGCGAAATTTTGGACATCTTATTTAGTGAAGAATTTGAACACATTACACCAAGCGGTGGAGGTTCTTAGCAAGGTGGCGATTATTTGGTGGTCCATTTGGAGGATGAGGAATGATGATGTTTTTCATTCGGCTCCTCCCAATCCAACAGTCGCACTAAAAAGGGCACGGTTCGATTGGGATGAGTCCTCTTCTCTCCACTCTATTCGGATCCAGTAGTACCATTCCCCTCCTTTGGAATATACAGCGTGGATGGTTGGTTTAGACCTTCCATTGGCCTGGTCATGGCAAATTGTGATGGTGTTTTTAATATAAAGTTGAAGAAATTAGCAATAGGTGTGGTTATTAGGGATCATAAAGAGGTAATTTTAGATGGTTTAGCAATGCAGTCTCCTTTTGTTTCTAGTCTGTATTCAGAAGTATTGGCCTTGCATGAAGCATGCATGCGACTTTCAGCATTATAGAGGAATGAGGCAATAGTGGTAAGTGATTCTCATGTTCTGATCTCATTGTGTACTGGTGAAAAAGCTCCACCTTGGGAGATTGCAGCTTTGGTGGATGATATCAAACTGATTTCTCACAGTCTTAGACTCAGGTTGGTATATTATCCTCGTAATTCTAACAAGGCAGCCTATTGGGTGGCCAAAGCGAAGTTGTCCTCTTCTGTCTCAAATGACTGGGTTTTTAACCCACCCGCGGAGTTGGGACACATCCTTTCTTATGACTGTATGTATGATCAGTTTTCTTAATAAAATGTTTCTTTCCAGTTCAAAAAAAAAA